AGCCCCATTGAGCTGTTTTTTAAGTGAGTCGTATTTTCGAATGGTTAATTGTGTTGAGGAGCTTGCTAGACTGTTAAATTGAACTGACTGTAGCCTGATCTTCAGTCCTGGGTTACTTCAGAGCCAACGGACTGGAAGAACCGTGGGTTGACATTTTGAATTAGTACTGATTTTATCCTCTGGGCGATGCCTTTGTCCTTCATATCTACCATGGGTAAGTTCAAATGTAATTTACGAACTTTAAAAATGCCCAACACCAAATATTCTGAAGTGTCTTTCGTTCAGAATTTAGACCGTTTTTCAATTTGTAAATGATCATCTACTTTTCTTATGGTGTGAACTTTTTCATCATAAATGAAATGTGGATAACGTGTTTCAGTTATATATCTTGTTCTAAAAAAATCGGAAGTTGACTGAAGTATTATCGATGAATTTCCCGTTTAATTTTAACGTCATTGGCATTTTATGTCTAATTTTAAATTGAAAATTGATTCACTTGAAAGTTTAGTTTAAATTATTTTCAAAACTGTACGTATTTTTTAGATCCTACTGAAATAAGATCAGAAACTGAACACTTACATTTATTTCAGATCTATGATTTGAATTTTACCGTTTCTACTAATTTTTTCCTGTCTTCGCACGAAACAATTTAATATGATTTGAGGGAGTGAGTAAGGGACTCATGTCGCCTATAGCTGTCGGCGCCCCAGCGCTAATCATGTTGCAGGGGCTTATAAAAGCCGTCTCATCTACCAGCCTTATCAGCTTCAGCTCAGAGAATGCTTGCATGCAAGATAACGTCCTCTGTCATCCGCTAGCCCTCACTTGGATCCCATTATAGATCCTTTGTACATCAGCAAAGCGAGCAACTAAAAATCACTCTGTTAACCATTTCTTGCTCCTTCAACGTACTTCTAGGTGCTTGACTCTTATACATGTAATGCTTTTTAAAAGTTAGGCAAAGTAAATGCTAAATATGCGAGACAAAGAGAGCTAAATATTTAAGCTTGAGTTAAGTTAAAAAATTAGGTGTGCACACATTATCTCTAGTTTGAGGCCTAGCATGCACGTGCAAGATCTGAACAACAATTATAATATAAAACAATTGTTTTACCTCCTGCGCAATTATGTTCGGTAAAAGTGTGGCAGCGTCAGTAACTAGCGTCTATCTGTCTAGGCATATCACATTAGCGTCCTGACTACCTATGATTGTTCGTGTCGATCATGGACGCGCGATACCCACTCATTTTGCCCACAATATGAATCTCATTATGAGCTGCTGAAGGTAATGTTAGCTTAGGGTGAGCCCACGCCGCCCGCCGTACCAACTTCAGCCTGAAAGGCACTCTCTGCTTGTCAGCGACGCGCTCCCTTCACTAAAAGCTGCCGATATTTAACGCTTCTACAGAAGTTATTGTTGCATTACTTTTAGACGGGATGTAATTCTTTTCTCAAACGAATTTGATTCGAAATTATTTGCATTTATATATTTACTGCATGAATTTTAATTTCATGCCAACTGAAGCGAGAATATATATTTTATGAAGATATCATTACTTTTACTGACATTACGCTTCCCAAAAATTTACGATTAATGACAAATAAAAGGTAATCTGCATCAAAAGTCATTCATCATTTCTGAAATGAATATTAATTCCTTGAGGGCCTTAGTGTACTTTTTTCAAGTCTTGGTTGTAATTTTATTGGGATGAGTTATTTTTCTTCTGTACTAATTAAGTGCAGGAATACTCGATCAGTAGTTTGTTCTGTATTCAACAACACCGTTACTGTAGACCGCAATCGTTTAATTGAAACCTCAAATGCAAATCTCGATTTTCAAAGGTAAATCATCCCTATTTTCCGCCGATCAATTACTACCTGTGCACCACGAGGCGGCTGCCAATAACACGCCTCCAATATTCATGAACGTCGATCATCGGAGCCTCTATGCACTCACCTTCCTGTGAGGCTTCGCAACTTTTGGCGCCGTTGCGTTCCTCATTAGGAACACAAGCGTGAGTGTTGGAGTGTCCGCCCGCGCTCTTGCTATGCCTTTGATAATTATCGGGAGAGAAAATAGAGACTTGACAGATGCGAGCAAGCACGTCCTCTAGCGAGTCTCTGATTTGGTCTCTTTGTGTGTGCGCAATCATCAATGTTTTGAAGACTACGGATGAACGACGTCCGTTCGTTCTTCGCAACAATACTCGATAGCTTCTTAATGAGCACGCCTGACCTGCTGGCTGAGAGAGAGAGGAACACTCATTGATCTCTCCCCTCCTCGGACCATAGTTATATTGCCACCTCCTCCTCCTCCTCCTCCTCCTCCCGCTCTCATTTGCTCATCCTTGTACTTGTCGGTATCTGTACAATATAGCTGAGCTTTGACGAGAGCTATGACAAGCACTTGGTTTGATTTTAGACTTCTTCATAGGATTCACTGGGAGTCTCATTTTATTACATCAAAGGAATTTCGGGTTGTCAGATGCTTACATCTTTGGAGGATGACTTTCTGCTATGTATGTGTGCTCGTCTATATAGTTTTTGGGGATTATTTATGGCTCTTTGAAGATATTTACATGTTCAGATCCGGCAACTAGATGGTCCGTACAAACCTCTGACAAAAGTAAGCGGCCTCAAATTTTTGTCACCTCATGCTAGGGCTCGACCAAACAACGATCCAAGACGTGACCTCTGCCTTTGGTAATGGCTGGTGATGTCGAGACTGTTCCACGGATCGTAATGTATTTAGAGTACCTGACCTTCATGGCAGCAAGGAAAGCTCTGTCATGCTGTCACCTTAAGCAGTTGAGCAATGAAACGATCACTGAAGGTTAGCACGGAGGCACCGCGTTCCAGTTCGCTATATATTGAGTGCCTGTTCTTTATACGTATCATACAGAACGAGTTTTATTCTACTTCCTGCATGATGCTTCCTTGCCCCAACCATCATGACATACTTTTGTCGTCAGTATCGCATAAAAGTCGTATTTTCCTGTCGATGTCGTCGAATATCGCCGTTTGTCTCCAAGCAGCAGTTTTACAAGCTTGGAGTTCAGTCGATCGCAGGAAACGTATTTCTCCCGTCTTCACCGACTCGCATGAAGTCGACTCGCCCAAGTTTCGTGATCCTCGACAATAATGACAATGGAACACATTATGTGCGCTCTCACTCGCTCAGTAGTCGCCGGAAACCGACGCGAATAAAGTACACTTTTTCCGCGGCCTTATCGCGTTTCTTGCGCCGAAGAGATGTCATTAAAATGGTGTTCCTCGGGGAGAGCTTGAAATGGCGCTTGCAGTCACGGTCGTCGACTTGCCTCGAGCTCAGGGAACTTGGCTTCCCTTTTCTTCAAGAACTTTTACTTCAGGCATCCTTTCCAGTCAGAAAAATCATGTAATTAGGAAAAGAAAAATTTGCCTGTGGAATAAAGAGTCTCTTTGAGCATCAGACGCGGTATATCAAACGATCCTGAATGAAGTCTTCTTGCGGGGGTTGATTGGAGTGTGCTGTTAAGTGTCTGCTGCTGTGCAATAAAAAGATAAGAAAAGTCAGGTATCGACCAAGCATCTGCATGGCTGGCGGTCACAGTAACACCTGCTTTGCGATAAAGCGCCGCCGTGCTGTTAGCTTCTGTGCCGCACAAAACACAAGATAAGGCACATAAATTACAGCTAAAAGTCAACCGGTGGGTGCGCTTTGCGACACTTTTTAGCCCATGCTTGACCAAAATGAGCAAAAACGCAGTTATCACTTATATTAGAGGGTGTCTTCGCGTTTTTATAGGTAGCAGCTAATGAAGATTGTCTGACGGAACAGTTGGTAAAGATGGCAGCTGGACGCTGCATTCATTTAATGAAGCGTTTGAAGACGATTCTGCGGCCAGCATTGATTGTGATAAATGATATCGATACGGAAATTGTTCTTGACTTTTAAACAGCTGTCGCTGACCGAACTTGTTTGGGGTACCAATATTGTGTACTTATCAGAGACTACGAGTTATTTAAGCCTTGTGCCGTCCTTCTTTTTTGCAGTAGTAATCATATATATAAATCATTATTTAAATGTTTTTATTGTTAGATTTTACCCTGCTGCGCAGCTGTAATCGTTTCTTAACTTCATTATCGACTATTTTTTGCATTTTGAAAAATTCTCAATCTCATTCCGATATTCCGAAACTTTAATCAAACTTTTCATCAGATAATTTTTTGTTGAATTTCGTAACGATTGCTGGATATCCTGAACGCTGTGCATCCTCTAGTTGAATATACAGACTGCCGGTTATTCTCCTGAATAAAAAATCTCCATGTACGATTTCTTTTGCTTACATGAAAACCCTTGCACTTGTAATAAGTAGCTTATAATTGCTGCGGAATTGCTTGCGTTTGTAAATTAGGAATAATGGGAATGTGTACTACCTTTTCTGAACAGCGGGTGTTCAAAAAATGCTTTATAATGAGCTGCATGACGGTGGATGGTGTAAACAGACCACCAACTTACATGTTATGGGCAAAACTACTGCATTGTTCGTACTTTTGTTGCATTTTACGTGAGTTACGAACCCACCACTGCGAACCCTTCGTTCAATGTTCAATATTACTCATCCCTATTGAACGTTGGTTGCATGAGCCAGAAAAAATTAACTTTTTTATGCTCTGTTGAATTTGCATCAATTTTTAGGCAATTATGATGTAAAAATTATAAAAAAATTTTAGGCATCAATTATATTTAGGCAACCATTATTCATCTCGTGAAATCCGTTCATCAAAAGGCTATGAAATCTAAACTTATTAAATTTTTCATGCAATATTCTAATTAAAAACAGAGCTATGTTCGAGGTGATTATTAATTATTGAAATGTACTCGTCTCGATTATCAAATGCCTTCGAATGTTTCTCTTCAGCCAAAGGTAATATGTATTTTTTTGAATGATTTTCTTTAGATATATTGAACCAGTTGGTCATCGATGGTTAAATTTGGACTTTTCGATTTTTTGCAGGCTATCTTCTCCTTTTGACTGCCATTCCTCCGTTGTCGGCTGCTTCTGCTGCTGACTGTGAGTGTTTCAATCCCACCGATTATTATGAAAAAAGATTTTAGATAAAAATATCTCTTCTGAACTGTCCTTAAATTCATCAAATAAATTTTATTTTAAACGACTTCGCGGGGTCGCGAAGTCGTATATTATTTATTTTAAACGTTTATTATTTTATTATAAACGTCATTTATTATTTATATAAACGTTTATAAACGTCGTTTATTATTTTATTTTAAACGACTTGCAAGTTAACTATCTGTCAAAAACTTTCATTTTAACATAATTGCTGCTCATTCATAACATGGTTTTGCCCTTTTCGTTGTATTTTATTTTAAATAAAACTTTATTACTCTTCTAATACACATCACTGAAGAAGCTGCTGCATCATCTCTGGTAAGAGCCGCGTCATAATCTTGTTTTTAGAGCTAATTCGTCAACACTTGACTTCAGCCCATGAAAGCAAGGGCTATGATGTCATAACGATTTACGTTCCTTGAACGTTTGCCGTCCAATGTCATTATACATTCTATCCTTCTGTACACGCTTCAGCATTATAGGTGTCGTAGCAAGTTTTAATGTGACAAATCTTTATTCTACTATGAGCACACAGAAACGGTTTATAATGTTAGTTATTTTGTGTGTATTGGCAAAGTTATCATTCATCGTGTGCATTAATTCAAGATAAGTTTTGAGTGTGTGCGAAAATTCCGCAAAAGTTGCCCTGAGGTTGATCCCATGCGTGCAGCTCATCCACCTATCAGTCGCTTTCCCATCGTTCGACTAGCTGTTTTAATAATTTCGATCCGGCAAGGTAAATACTCAATGCATATTTCTTCGTCTTTAATGTCGAGATTCCCATGATTAGTGTGGCACTTGAGGATGGCAGTCGGTGCAATTACTAAGTCTGTGCAGCAGCTTCCCTCATTGTTCGAATGCCAGCCCCAGCGATCGTGTGATTGTCGCTCTGGCTTGGTTTGACTAATCTTTCACAACTATCCGGGTCGAGTGCTGTTCCAATTATGAGTTTAATGTCCCCTAATCGGCATAAAAATGGTTACAAACTGTTGCAATGTGACACTTCCCTCCTAAACCGATTGAATTAAAACGAGCCAAATACAGCTGAAAAAATTTCCCGGCCGTTTATCGCGACATTCATGCGAAAATTATGGCGTCATCCACGTGTGAATTTTCATTCAAGAAATGTCCATTAACTGCGCATGTGAATCCAATCCTTAGATCGAGCAGCGCTCTACCTATTTTGTAGAATTTTATGCCAGTAGCCTCTAGTTTCTCTTCTCGACGACTCATGTCGTATCTTTAATCCAAGTCCACGGATGAAGAAGCTCCCGACCTGAATGTTCTCTCTGAAACTCTAGTAATCGCCGAGGTCCTTTCCCATGTATAGATATATAGATATTTAAAGTAATCCTACAGCTGCACTCTAAAGAATCTTTCTGCAATTTCGAAGGAATTAACGTCAAGGGAGAACCTTTACTATGACTGATTTAATTACTCGACTTAAACTGGCCCACTTTCATGCTGAAAATCGTAGACTCATTCGCCTGCGTCTTTTTTAGCGTCTCGTATTCCTTATTGTTATCGAACGGCCAATTCCTAGGGACTTGGTCTTTGTCTAGGCAAATCCGGAGAAATTTTTCATCCGTGTAATTACCTCTGGAAGGCGAGTGTTGGAAGCTGTTCTAAAGATTGGCCCGGACCTTCACGCTCGGAGCTGCCGACTCAAAAGAACGGCCCCGGCCGGCGAAGGATGCTCAGAGCCGGCAAAGACGGCCAGAATACGGCGGCCGGAGAATTAAGGATACTCAGGGCCGGCAGAGACGGCCAGATGACGGCGGTCGGAGAATTAAGGATACTCAGAGCCGGCAAAGACGGCCAGAATACGGCGGCCGGAGCTGAGGTGCGAGTGCGCCGAGCTGCCGGCGATTTAACTGAGGAGATTGCAGAAAGTGCGCATAACTAGCGCTTGCTGTTCTCGAGCCGTGGGCTGAATTACCGAGAATAGAGGAACGTTCACGACTTGAAATAACGTCGTGAAGCACTCGAAGTACCGTGGGCTTGTGGAAGAAATAATTGCTCCTACAAAAAACACCGATAATTAATGATTATGCAGCCGGTAAATTGAGTTCCGTTCAACCTGAAAACAGTCGAGTAAATTGATTCTGAATTATTAATCCAGAAATTTTGCTACCACGGTTTCTATGCGCTACTGCAGAAAAATATTCACTTGAAAAATCTGCAGATGCCCCCTTTTTCGCAAAAATGTTTACTTATAGCGTTAAGCGTACCACACCATAACTAGTACACAGAAGCCACGCAAACACTAGTGATCCTATAGTTTGATCTTCTATACTCGTAATTCTAGTTTGATAATTTATGCTGCACAAAGATGTTTATTGCCAAACATAAGACAATCTGGCAAAGATGTGCTGCTGCTGCTGCCATACCCCCCCTCCCCCGGAATGCGTTGAATTTACGAGGTTTTCTATTAGCATTCAATGACGAAAAGTTCGAGATTTCTGGCTTATACTCATGCAATGGCTAACTCTTAACTTCATATGGCGTCTTTCTCACTCTTCCGTGCTTTAAAGTATTAATTACAAGAAAACGTCAAATGCTTGGCTTATTCTAGAAAAAACACTGTGCAACAGCTTTCATTGCTATAGAGTTCAATAATTTCTTTGTCTCTGCAACACAACTTTTGTTCAAAGTAGCTCTAAGAAATTTTTTCTTTGTCAACTCCGCGTCGGTTCCGTGCTATGCAAATGCGTCTTTTCTGTTTTTGCGTATATATATACTCGTTGTTACATGCGTAAACACATGAACGCGCGTAGAGTGAATACAAAAGCCCAAACTAGATTACAAAAGATCTGTTTGAAATAAAACTCATCCTTGCAAAGAAAGACAAGCTTGCATCTCAACTCGAGAAAAATGAAGCGCTACCCAAGTTTGGTTTCAAAAATGCAAGATGGATGCAGGCGCGGGAGAGCAGCAGACTTGGGTGATAGCCTGGCGGACAGTGCGGGAGGGATGAAGCGTGATATGTTGGTCGCCTCTGATGTGTGTCAGATGTAGTATTGTTTGTGAAAACTTTATGTTTATGATTGGTGATCTCCAATCACATGTCTTCTTATATAAAAAAGTTTTCTTTCGTGGTATATGCGAAATTAAATCATTTGATGTTCCTCGATATATCTAGAAATTTGGGAACTGTTTAATGATATTTTTAATGAGTAAGTTGCGCTGTATCGCTTTTAAATAGTTGAAATTGTTAATGCACCCTTGCTTCTTGCTATCTATAACACCAGTACTAAATTGCGATGTCTAATACTGGCTTCAATTCAGATTATGATGCATATAATGTACGTTTATTATAACTGTTGACGATGATGTTTGAAATTACTATTAAGCCGTACTTACTGGGAGCGTTACCATGCTCTGTCACGTAATGGAACGCTCCATGCAGGCCGATCAATACGCTCTGAGATGGCGGTGATCACCGTGGCTAGCATAAATGAAGTAGGAGCAATGGAAAATATATCACGTCCTTCAATTGATGCAGCTTTAATTTTAGTCTGCTTCTTTTTTGGTGTAGAACCTCACATCGACAGCTCCTCGGTCTCGAGAGCGTTGGAGCACTCCAAGGACAGAGCCTCGGTCCTAAGAGTGTTAAACCACACCAAAGACAGAGCCTCGGTCCTAAGAGTGTTAAAGCACACCAAAGACAGAGCCTCGGTCCTAAGAGCGTTGAAGCACACCAAAGACAGAGCCTCGGTCCTAAGAGTGTTAAAGCACACCAAAGACAGATCCTTGATTTGATTGTGTTGGAGTACACCAAGACAAAGCCGCGGTCGTGAAAGTGTTGAAGCACTCTAAGGACAGAGTCTCGGTCCTAAGACTGTTGAAGCCCACCAATTAAGGACAGAACCTTGATTTGGCGACTGTTGAAGCACACCAAAGACAGAACCTCGGTCTTGAGTGTTGAAGCATACCAGGAACAGATCCTCGGTCCTAAGAGTGTTGAAGCATAAAAGGAAAAGAGTCCTGGCCCTCGGTCCTGAGGACCGAGGATATCACATCACATCAGGGACAGAGCCTCGGTCTCGAGAGTGTTGAAGCACACCGCGGACAGAGCCTCGGTCCTGAACGTATTGAAGCACGCCAAGGACAGAGCCTCGGTCCTAAGAGTGTTTTGAGGCAGAAGCTCCTCGACGAGTTCACATAAAAAGAAGCAGCTTATGAGGCAGGATCCTCTCATACCGTCGTCGCTGGTGGCAGCCTCCACAAGAAGGCGAAATGTCCGAAGAAACTGGCCGGATTTTTATGTTCTACCCGCTGAATCGGAGAGGAAAGAAACCCGCTGTCATGTCGAGGCTAAGGAAGCCGTGTGGAGCCGCCGTCTCCGATAAATCAAGTGTTATATGGAGGTGCTCGGATATAAAAGCTCAGCTTGGAGGTGATGGAAGCAGTGCTAGTATTCAAAAGAGAGCTGCTCCCGTGGAAATGCATTGGTGCTTGTGGTATGATACATTGCTCATGTGAGCTGCGGAGTCGCGCACTGCCGTCATCGCGCCTTGTAGCTTCCTTCTATTGATGATCTGAGAGAGAGAGAGAGAGAGGGACAGCCTCACGCCTGCACTCAATGAACACTGTCAATCAGGCGACCCAAAGGAAACCATCCAAAAGTCGCGATGCCTGGCCCAAGGTAAAGCATGTCTGTCGTGAAGATTCCAGTTTAGAGCGCCATATGCTCGTATATACTCGTGGAGCTTCCGTTCTATTAAACCAACCTTGGATGCTGGCCAATGCTATACAGAAAACTTGGAATTACACCTCTAAAAATGACTTGTAAAGTAGCCATCCATTTTTGATGACTCTTGCTATTGGTGAAATTCTCCAAAGTCAGGAGGAAACTGGATCATTCTTGAGGATAAATTTAACAAGTTACTTGGGAACTCGCTGGAAGAAATGGCCTTAAGTCATAATGGCCAAATGGAGCC